CCCCCCTCTTTCTCTTTCTCTCTCTCTGTGTGTTTCTCTTTCATCCTTCAGGACACAAACCTGCAAGTGCGCTCGTTTAACTCAAGCTGCCTCGACTTGCAACGTGAGTCTGTGAATTTGCAGGAACATTTACAGGTCTGGGGATCTTGTACAAACAAGTGCTTTCTCCTCTCTGAGCAAGGCTCACAGTGACTGCAAAAAGGCAAAAGGAAAGATGTCTAAGCTACAGCGCTTCAGCAGAAAGAAAATACACATGCAACACCCTAAACATCAAAGCAATCCCCTTGCCCCCTCCCACAGACCCCACGCTGCCCACTGGCGCGCCGGGGGCTGATGGATTAGCACCCCGGCAGCCCCAGGACAGCACCCCCTTGCATTAGCGTAAAGAGAAAGAAAACAGGCTCTCTGCACAGTATTCACAAATGCTGCATTGGATCCATCGGCACAGGCCAGAGGGAGAAAGAAGGGGAAAGCAAGGATGGGAAGGTGAGAGGTCCCAGCCAGCTATTGACGTATCAATGAAAGAAATTCTCTGAAGTGGGCTACTCGAGTAGAAAGAGGCCAGTGGCTAGACAAGTTAAATAGAGGGTCTCTCCTCCCCTGGAAGGCAGCTGAGCTCCAGCATCACGTGCTTACCCCTGCAGCCAGTACTGCCCTCCCCTCTATAAGCCCCATCCCAAACTTGCCAACTCAGAGTTTCCTATGGAGGGGCAATGAATTTACAATGCAGAATTCTGTGAATCACCATGAGAGGCAGAGCAGTGAGAGACAGGGAGAGAGAAGCCACCAAATCCAGCAGAGAAGGGAAAAAAAGAGAGAGCCCCTCCAGGTCCCCAGCACCCTCTCTCCAGCTTCCCACCATCCCCTCTCCAGCTTCCCACCATCCCACCTCTCCTCTCCGCCTGTGACTCCACCAGACAGACACACTTGCACACGCACACACACAGATGCACAGCAGATGTCAGCCTGCCTGTCACCAGTCATCATAGCAGTGAGGGCACAAGACAAGTGGGGGAAAGCAGATGACAGAGCTGCAACCAGGAGGTGTGGAGAAGAGGTGCAGGGCACTCACCCACCCACCCAGGCTCTTGTGCCTTGGGAAAATGGTCACCACTGATGATTAGAGAGCCAAGCAAGCTAAAGCCACCTTCCCTGAGATACCCTTAGTGCCAGAGCAGTGCCACCACCAGTGCTGCCCCTGCAGATCCTGCAGCCCACCAGTGACTGAGAGGGGAGGGTGAGATTTTGAGTAAGCATCAAGCAGGCGGTTTGGTTTGGGGAGAGGGAGGGAAGAGAGTCTACAAGCAGAGGACACAAACGTACAAGCTGAGTGGTTTGTACCGGCCTTTCTTGCGCTTTCTCTTTTGACCCTTCCCCTTTCCTCGCTTTGATTTTCTGGAAGAAAAACAAAACAAAAAAAAAAAAAAAAAAATTTATACTAGTTTGAAACCACTGCCCAACCACAAATAAAAAGTCCAGCTATAACTTTTGTTTTAAAATATGCTCATTTTAGAATAGGAGTGAAGTTCATACTTCCAATTAAAAAAAAAAAAAAAAAAAAAACCTTTTCTCTTTTTTTTTTTGTAAAAAAAAAAAAAAAAAAAAAAAAAAAAAAAAAAAAAAAAAGAGAAAGAGAGAGAGAGAGAGAAGGAAAGAAAGGGAGAGAGAAAACGGAAGAAAATGCAAGGAAGAAGAGGGAAAAAAAACAAAACAGCCATGTGCCTTGCTGGGAGGGGGGAAGCACATGAGGCAGGACTGGAGGGCAAGTCCCAGGGCCGAAGCACAGATCTCCACCTTGCACACACATTCACCAGCCCTCCTGCGCTCCTGCCAGCACTGCAACCGGTCTGCCCACAGCCAAGCCAACACCAGTGGACTCGGCAGCGACCACCTCCTGCAGGGCTTCTGCCAGCACAGGCGGATCTGCTGGAGCCTCAGAGGGGCACCTGCCCCCACAGGGCCAGTGGGAAAGGGACTGGAGGTGAGGGGAAAGGAACAGAAAGCTTGGTGAAAGCATCACGCAACCACAGTGAGTGCAGACAACTGTTGCAGGTGACAAGCGCAGGCGCACACTGACTGACAAGAGGCAACCTGAGCAGAGGGGCTCCCCCAGGGAAAAGAAAACTGTTCTGACCTGACACAACGCCCAGCACTGGGCCTAGGAGGGAACAGCTGAACTCCAACAACTCTGCTGCAGGGCTGGTAGTAATCCTGCCTTGGGATGGGATCAAAGGGGGTCTGGCGTCAGCACCCCACTGACAAGGGGAGAGACCTGGTCTAAAGAGCAGTGCTGCATGAAAGAGGGCTATCTATCCTGAAGGCTCTGCTCACCCACCCCACCTCCTGCCTGTGTTTTGGAGGACTCCTGCAGACCTTGCTGGATGTCTGCTAACATCCTCTCTGGTGGCTTACATCCTGACTACAGAAGGCCTGACCTCATTATGACACCCAAGAGATAACCAGTAAGCAGCTCTCAGATGTTCTCTCCTTTCCCTCCCTCCCACTGCCTTCCACATGGATCTGTCAGGGAGACAAGTGGACAGAGCCAAAGCACTGACTCTCTTCTGAAAAATCCACCATTTACTCCTAACTCTCGGGCAGGGGCTGGGACAGGCAGGGGCTAAGACGTGCAGGTTTGGACACTAACCATGGATCCCTACAGACCAGTGAGAGCACAGGGAGGGAGAGAGGCTGGAGCCTGTGCTGCTCCTTGAGCCATGTTAGCACACGACCAAGGGAGATACATGCAAGGAGAAGGCCCTAGGCAAAGCACCAGGGCTTGTCAAGCAAGTGAGCCCCAGCACTATGGCAGTTCAGCAGAGGCTCCCTCCTTCCCTGGTGCAGCCCACTTCAGGAGGGAGCTGTGGAGGGGACATAGGGAGATAGAAGGGAAAGCACCACAGGTGTTTCTTAGGCCCTGTTCAAGTTGTCTCACTGGAACGAGTGTCAGCATCAGCTCGCTCCCAGCCTCTGCCCTACATGTCAGGAGTCACAGAGAGGCGGTGAGGGGAGGAAAATCAACCTGAAGGGAGGAGAGGGGCACCAATATAACAGGACTTTCAATCCAGCACAAACCAAAGTACACCAATCTCTCCTACCCCTCCCCTTCCTTCCCCAGGGAGTGCAGAACCAGCAAAGAGCAGGCAAGGTGTTGTTAGAAGAGGAAAGGGAATGCAACACAGCTTGGGCTGGCTGCTCCACCCACACCCCATCCTCACTAGAGCTCACACAGACCCAACTCTCACACACCTTCGAACCACAGAGCCACACAGACTGACCATCCTCAACATGGCCCTGCACAAAGAGGAGTGTTGGCTGCATGCAGCTCAATGCAACCAAGAGCAAATTTCCAGGGGGAGGAGGAGAGGCTGGAAGGCAGCTAGAAATATACAACCACCAGGACAGGGGTGAAAGAAGTTCTCTCACTCTCCTGCTTGCTCTCTCTGTCTCTGTTTCAGCCTCATCTCCCAGTATTCACCCCCTTCCTCCCCAACTCCACACCTCTAAATGGCAGAGTCGCTATCCCAGCCATGTACAGTCCAGCTGACCCTCTCTCCCAGAGAGGTCACTCTTTATTTTCCATGTTGTTCCACATTTTGTGATCATCCCTGCAACTACTGCAGGACAAGAGCTTATTTCTCTACTTTCCACAACCTTTTTACTTAAGTAAGGAAGGAAAGGTTGTGTCTTAACTTCCTTCCAGTCACCAGGGCAAATCCATCAGACTGAAAAAAACTCATGAAAGTCTCCACCAAGACCCAGCTAGGACATTCACCTCCCAGGCCAGGACATTACAACCCCCCAGGCCCCCACCCAACCAAAATCAGCATCACATTCTGCATGGCATCAGTTCTGCCTCCACCAAGCCTCTATTTCCACCTCTCCCTGTAGCCAGCAGAGTTCCTACCCAAGCTGCTGTGAAAGAAGCCAGCAAGTACTCATTCAAGCAGCAAGAAAAAAATCAGTAATAAAGAAGGGCAGCAATTTGCAGTAACCAGAAACTCCCCAGGAAGAGCGAAGGGAGAACAGGGGCTGCACCTTGAATCCATTCTGGTAGGACACAAACGACGGGACTTCCCTGACTCAGGGTAAAGCATTAGGAATGACTGCCATGGCCATGGGTCATGCAAGCTCCAGGTCTGGGGTGTGAAGGAAGGACCGTCAGATCTGGGTTTCTGTGCCCACCTGGAATGGATTCAGAGCGTCGCCCCGTGCACTACCATATGCCATTTCCAAAAACACCTTCTCAAAGCGAGTATCTCCAACCAAAGAAAAGGGCAAGGGGCAGTGGGGAGAGGAAACACCAACCAACCACCAAAAGAGAAAGGAGGAAAGGTTTGTCACTTACTTTTCTTGTTTGTTTTTGACATCTTTCTTTGGTCTGTGGGAAAAAAAAAACAACAAACAAAGGCCTTATAAGAAAGGAGCTTACCATTTACAATTCCAGTATTATCCCCAGATCCCACCAAGTCCAGGGAAGGATATGTACAGCTGGCTTTGCAAGATCCCCATGACACAGGTTAAGTGGTCCTTCTCAAAGTGTTTGCTCAAAGCTTCTGGAACCCTCTCCTGTTGCACCTCACTGGCAACCAGTGCCAAAAGACCCCAGGATTCAGGCTAGCATTGTCCACCTGTGATGTCTAGAGATGGAGAAGCCTCGCCAGCAAAGGGCTTCTTTTCCCAGGCTCAGCCATCCCAGTGCAAAACAAATGAGGAGACTGCAGAAGACTCTGGACAACAGTCCCAACCCAATGGCAGAAAAAAAGGAAAGGCTTGGAATACATTTATTGCAAGAGGAACCAGTGCTGCTCCATTCTCACCTGCAGTCACATTTACTGTGCTGTAAGAAGCTCATGTGCGCTATGTGCTGACTCTGAAGGGGTTTAATTCTCATGATCTGGAATGAAAGAAACAGAGAGGGTCACTGCCCATTCACTATTTATACTCACAGCTCTAAATCAGCCTGCTGCATGGCAAAGCATTTGCACCCCAGGTGCTCCTGGGAACAGCATGGCAGAGTCTGAGCTAGTTTTGAGGCCCCAATCTCCCAGTCAGGGAAAGTCTTTGATCACAAGCAAGCAGCAACACCAGACTCGTGCCAAAGCTCTGTTTGCTCATGCATGCATGGTTCCAGCACTGGTGGACTGCCTTAGAGACAGGCATGGCAGAGAGCAAAAAACCATTGGAAGGTTCTCACTGAGCTGTCCCTGATCGATGCTACAGAGACAGTAGTAGAGCATCCAGCCTGTTCTCACATAGAAGCATGCTTCAGTCTAACACAAAGGCCCAAAGCAAAAATTCCGTATCTGACTCCTTTTCCCTAAACCACTGTTCCTTCCCAGCTGACATCTCATCTTCTCAGTGACTCAAAACATGAAGTAGATCTGGTGATTTAGGCTTAAAACAGCCCTGCAGAGCCAGACATTGCTAATATCCCAGGCCCAGGTGTCTCCAGTTAAGTTATATTAGAAGCTATGCATGCATTGTCACAGTGTCTCAATACAGATTCTGCTGAAGTGTCTCTGACCCTTTACAGGCAAGCAAGCATACCAGCCAAAACTGTAATTCAGCAAGGAATGGTAGGAAGAAAACCATCCCTAGCTACACCATACTAGTATGCTCCGGCCCAGGCTGGAAAAGCACTATGGGGAACCATGGAAGAGCACAGACAGGTTGCCAGAGTTCAAACACAGCTCAAATGACAAGCAAAAAGAGATTGCTGGTTAAATCGCTTAATCCTGTGTGTTCCTCCTCCATGTCAAAAAGTGATGGTAAGCTTTACCATGGCCATTCGAGAGGCTGAGGGACAAAAATAGGTGAGGGAGCTATGGGGTAAGGGTAATGGGCACTAGCTCCATTGCAGACAAAAACTGGGACCCAGGCTGGCAGACAAGGCAGAGACAAAGCTCTACATCAGAGTTTGCATTCTCCACATGTGCCCAGTCTTTGCTATCAGGGCCATCTCCATCTCTTCCAAAGAATGAATTCAACCGAACAAAGGAGGAGGGCGCCCAAAGGCAGAAAGACTTTTCCACTTGACACTGAAGCCCTGTGTTTCTTAGAGCCCCTCTCCACCCCTGCTGTGCCAATGTAGCTAATGACCCAAATCCCTTGCTCTGTTGGTAAAGGCTGACCTCATATGCCCTCCGGGAGAGAGCAGACAGGCTTTCCCCATTCGAACCCCTCAGCTGCCCTCAGAGCAACAGCAGTATGGACCAAACAGATGTAAGGTGGAGCAAGGGCCCAGGGGGTCTCTTCTTGGGGCCTCAGAGGTAACAGCATCAGAAATGCTCTGTTACGTTCTCTGAGCATGCAGAAACGCTCCTTTGCGTGCTCCTACCTGTGGTATTTAGGCACTAGTGAGGTCAATGCCAAAATACAGATTCTCCTCTTAGCCTTGAATACAGAGGGGCAACTCATCTTTTAACCCTGCATGGTGTAATGCTGGGTACAAAGGTCAGAAGAGGGGTGAACCCTCCCAGTCCCACAGCCTCAAGTTCCCAGGGTAGGCTGGCCTTCCTCTGATTTAGCTGGGAGCTGGGACTTGGGATGGCTGTGACGGCTGACTCGCTTCCTGCACCCAAGCATGCCAGCTTCCAAGCTGGGCCCTCACCTCCATCGTGACGTTGTACACATCCACGGGGACACATTCTAGGCCCTCATCGCCGCAGCAACCTGCACATCTCATCAGAGGCACACAGGATGGCTTGAATATGTACTCCACCTCATCAGGGTACTCCTGGAAAATGTCCACCAGGGTCTCAATTGTCCTGCAGAAGCTGCGCTCATAGACTTCCAGGAATTTGATAACTAAAAGGAAGAATGGAAGGAGTAAGTTAATGCAAACTTAGCTCAAAGACATCTAGGGCTTTGCCCCTTAAAATGAGCCAGAAAGTTGCAACACATGTACCCTATGCTCTTCATTAAATGATCTTGGAGGCCTAGGTCCTTTGTTTCTGCCCTACACACACACATACACACACACACACAAATCAAGCAGGGAAGAGAAAGAGACTATCTCTTCCCACCGCTGTTTCAGGGCAGACACAAGATGGACAGAAGAGCCCCACTGTTTGCTTCCCTGCCACCATGATACATTCCACAAGCCCCTTCCTTGCTATTACTCATACTCTCAGATGAAGGCCCTTCACCAGTTTGCCTTTCACTCCTTTTCTAAACAGCCAGTGGATGCCCCAGTGAGTTTTAGAAGGCAGGGGAGTAAGTCAGAAGCATCCTTCCTAGAGACCTGGCACAGAGGGACTTCTGAGAACAAGCAGGTTTTGAACCATGCATCCTCTTCCCATCTGCTTCCTCTTTTGCCCATGCAGAACATATACCTCAACAGGCCGGCCCAGAATCATGACAGCACCTGCTGCAAGTCACATCCTCCATGTCTCCACACTGACCACTTTCCCAGACCCAGCAATCAAGCTAACCACTGGAAGATTCAAAGCAAGCCCACAGCACCCTCAGGATTAACTAGACCATATACTTGGCTACCAAACTGCAATGATGCAGTGTGGGAGGGGGAACAGGGCGGATCAGCCATTATCCCCTGCCTTCCCTTTGAATGGGGCAAACACTAACTGCTTGTGATCTGCACTGATTTCACAAGTGTTTCTCAATGTTTTCCAGACTCTTGCCAAAGCTTCGCTTTGCTGCTTGGTCAAGGGTTGGAGAGATTTAAAGAGATGAGAGATAGGACAGATAAGTACACACGCACAAAATCCACCTGCTAGTATAGTTCTGCAAACAGTGAGTACCTGGAGCCCCCCAGGCCTCCTAGCACTACCAGCAGGCAGTCTCAAATGGAGCAGAGGATAAGAGTATACACAAAGAGACAGTACCTGCCCCATGCTGTTATGCACTATAATGATCCACCTGTACAGTAAGCACAGTCCTACAGCACCAAGGTTGATAACTCTGAGTGATAAGCGCAAACTGCTTGCATCATGGAAAAACATGGTCTCCAGTAAGCATTTCTAAAGTGCCCTGAACTTGTGACAAACTGGCATAAAGGTTACTTTGCCACAAAAATGCAAAAGCTGCAGGGCTTGGAGCTCATAGCCTGCAGTTAATTGTTGAAAGTTAATTCTAGGTCACGCAGAACTGACAGTGCCACAGTGCTGAGAGTGGGTACAAAAGAGGAGGAGCTTCCAACCAGGGAGTCTGAAGTGCCAGAGAGCGTGAGCAGCTATTAAAAGAGAAAGTGGCTTGTAAAAGGGAAATGTAGCCTGGCAGGCATGGATTGCTTGTTGGTATTCCTCGTCTAGAAGACAGCATGTTTCTGTTCCTTGTCCCTTCCCTTCCTCTTCCTTCCTCCCCAAATTGCTTTAGACCTCCTGGCTGTTCTCCTGGCTTGTCTGTGGCTACCTCCTTCTTCCCGTTCCCCTTCAGAGTGACCTTAGTCACCGCCTATGTTCCAACAAGTTGAACAATTTAATATGTGGGAAATTCTGCAGGCACAATGACAGCCACTGAACTGCACTGATGATTATTCACACTGTGCCAGCTGAAAAGATCTGGGAACTCTGGCAGTAAAGGCATAGTTCTGGAGAAAGATGCTTACAAACCTACGTCAATGGGAGGGAGGGAGCAAGGGAAGGGAAGAAAGGAGGGAGAGAAAGCAGCAGTTACCTGTGCAGATCAAATGCTGCTCACCGCAGTACTCTAGGGCATAGAGGCAGAAACCGAAACAAGAGTAGAAAACTGAAGTGAAACTGATTGACGTCTGCCACACTTTCTAAATGTTTGTAGTGCACAAGCAGCCGGACTACACCAGAGAATCCAGAGTGCAGACTGGCCACAGAACAGCACATTTAACTCCTTTTGTGGAGGGTTTACTTTCACAGCTGCACCCTGATGACTATACTTCAGATCTGGGAGATCCGACAGGATTAAATCCTTTCCATAAAGAATTTGGAAGTTTTTGCCTTTGCTTCAACATAGGATGATTTTCCAAAGTCTGAATCAGCGTCTGAAAAGGAAACGGGGAATCTTTCTTCAGCTGCCAGTCAGAACATCCTGCCATGAAAGGTGTGTTGCTTTGATTTTACTGGACGCGGAGCATTCCCACAGAGCCTGTGCAACACTCCATAGTTCATTTGTACAGTTAACACCCAAACCAGAGCGAATGACTGAGGTGTAGTCATCCTCACAGCAAAGCCCTGCCCCTCCTACCATATCTACACTTACTACCATGTACCAGGAGTCATATTCCACACTTTGCTGGGCTGATTCAGTTTGTACTTCCTTTCCACTGCTTGTGTCAGGGATGGAAGGTCTGTCTTTCATGGGGAAACATAGGAAGGTCATTGAAGGACTAATACTTCTTGGCCTGCTCCCTTCCTGCAATTTGGGCTTCAGCCCACATTAAAATTTAATCCTGCATCTAACCTACACCCCTACCCTGGCAAAACACCTCCAGACTTGAGTCAGAGATTCTCCTTCGTGAGTGGAGGGGTAAGTAAGTTTAAAACCCAGTCAGGGCCTACATTAACTCTTCAGGGCAGACATAGCCACAGCAGGCAGGATTAAGTCCAAATTTGAAGCAGCCAAGTGGGAACATGCTAAACTAGAAAAGGAACAAGTCTATGATCATTTTGCCCCATCAAGTCTATGATCATTTTGCCCCATGGCTTAGCAGCAATACAGACACACTGTTCTTTTAAAAATAAAAGTGCATCCACAAGTGCTGGTGGTTTCTTTTATTTATACCAGAAAATCTTTTCTCGCAGAACAAAGAGTGTTTGTCTGACTCCTCTACAACTTCCAGTGCCACAAAACGTGGAAGGCTCTCTTGAGCACAAAAGGGTACAGGCTGAAGCTAAAACTACAGTCTCCCACCAGAGTAAGTCCATCCGAAATAAAAACCTGTCACAGCTCAGCATCTCAGAACAAGTACAAAATGGCCAAAGACACAAAACGACCTTCCATCCCAGCCCCAAAGCCCCCAAGACCTTCAGTGGAAGCAATTTCAGGGCTGTCCTTGTGGAACATCATCTCCTTTTCACAGAAAGGAAACTGAGGTACTGAGAGAGGACCTCCAAGCTCACACAGTAGGACAGAAGTAGAGCCAGAAAGGTAATGCCAAGAGTCCTGACTTTGAGTTCACAGATGTACCTGCACTGCAGAACCAGAAATAGCACCAAGGCGATCGCACTCACACTGCCGGACCAACTTCTCACGTGACCCCATCGGCCTGCTTGTGAAAGGGATTTAAATTCTACTCAATTTTTCCTCTCCCTGGGAATGCGGCTGGCCACAACAAACGGCACAGATGAGGACACCACTTCTTCTCTACCAAGAGCAGAGGAGTGGTTACAAAAATAAGCCTCACAGCAGGCTCCATCTTGATCCCTCTGGAGTCCCTGAACCTTCTTCTGTTGACTCCAGCGGGAGCAAGGGTCAAGCGCAACAAGCGGCAGCCCGCCAGCAAATCAGAAATTCTGCCCATGCAAAATGGACACCTATGCCAAACACAGCCTGCCACAAACCTCTGGCAATGCACATGCAGCCCGTCACGCCAACAGAGTTACAGAAATTGAAATTGAGTGCGACCAAAAAAAATCCAATCTCGGCCCACACTGCTAGAGCCCTCTGCTGACCTCCAGCTGGAATAACGCTGAAGGTCACAACCCACAGGTACCAGGCAAGAACTTCACCAGACCCTGCCATGCAGCGCATATCTGCTCTGCTATGAAGATATGGGGAAAAGACGGCCAGAATGGTCTTAAAGTAGCTGATGATCAACTTCAGCCTGGAGGCTCTGAAGTCCACAGCCCTTTTACCCACTTCTGAGCTGAACACTGCAGACAGAAAGTGAACCTCCAGCAACGCACCAGGGCTCCACCAGACAGGGCACTTGGAGGCGGCATCTCTGGCTAACCTGGGGGCTGACTGCTCTTCTGCTCTACATTTCCTTGTACAAACCAAGAAGGCAGAGAACATTGCCACAGTCTGGCATTTAGGCAGCAGGAGTGCCAGAAACTTGCAACTGCTGCAGGGGCACACCACCTCATTTCCTCACCAGGCGATGGTTCCACCTATACTGGACCCCCAGCAACAAATCGAGTAAGACCTATTAGATCACACTGCTGTCCCCTGAATCTGCCAGCTCAAACCGGAACGAAGGGGTGCATTTTTTGAGCCTGGCTCTGCACAGCACTTAGCAGCAACCTAACTGGGGGGTACCCGAGACCGTCAAGGGGGCACGACGCTGTAAAATCAACCTCCTGAGCTGCCCCTTCTTCCTCCTCTGCCCCCAGAGAGCTCCTGCCTGGCCACCTGGGGAGAGCT